CAATGTATCTTGAAATGTGAGAGTGTGGCAGGTGTTGCTAGGGAGTAGATATATCCCTTCACATAGGGCGTCTCATTTGTTTATGATGTTTGTGTTGTCTCCTCAGGCCTTTGAGCTCGCCACAGGGGACTACTTGTTTGAACCTCATTCTGGGGAAGATTATTCCAGGGATGAAGGTATTGCTGGGACTTCCTTTTCCTTTTATCCAGTTATAACTGCACAGCATTAGATCTATATTTAGTAGTATTTCTCATATGTATGCTTCACTGGTAAGTCATATTTGGTTTTGGTGAGGGCTGTACCGAATTATTTCAAATTCTTTATGCGTGTCTTTCAATTTCAACCTGGTATTTCTGCACAATTGCAGATAAAGATCAGGCTACACTAATATCTGCGTATGATTACTCTAATAACGCCAGAGTGTTGTAATCATATCCACAATACACAATGTTTTTTTTTAATCTTACGTAATAGTCTGCTTCAATCCATTTTTGTTTGCATTCAGCCCTTCAAATACAAAGGAAGATTAATTAACCTTGAATGAATAAAAAATACATTCGGTACAGCCCTAGTACTGTGGGTCACTTTTAACATTTATTGCTTCTGTGAAAAGCTTCCTGATGTTTTTTCTGTACAATTGGCCTTCATTGGTGTTTCATTGTCATCATATTCTCAATTCTAATAAGATGTTCACAGTAAGCATGGTAAGCTGCGGCCTTTAGTCCAAGTTATTGTGCAGTTAGCATAATAACTTGCGGCGCTCTTTACTTTCTCCACAGTGTTAACACTTAAATGACGTACTCCATTACAGTGATTAGAAATTCAGAAGAGATAATGTGAATGACGTGATGAGTGCCAGCATTCCTGTGTTTATTTCCTCTCTAACACTTAAAACCACACTTTCGCTGCACTGGAGACGGGGCCATCTCTCCTTCCCTTGCTCATCTTTTCTTCATCTCTTCCTCCTCACTCTCCATGTGTCATGTTGTCATCACGCTTTCTGTATGTTGATGTTGGCTGACACTCAACTTGATGTTTCTGTGCTGACTCGATCTAGCCCAGGCATGTTAGGTATGATTCAACCTTTAGTTTATTGGCACTTGCCCTGCAGCTGTGAATCTGCTTTCTCACCCAACATGAACACATGTTATTGCTTCATATTCTTCCAATGCTTTACTAATCCCTCATACTGAATCAGAGTCTGTTGTACAAGTCTTGGTGTGTTTTACTTGGCTGTACTTTATTATTATTCAGTTCAATAGTTGGTTTTCCGACATGAAAGTGAATGGCCTACATGTGTTTAAAGTTTGTAGCACTAGCTTGTGATGAGAATAGGCGAATGTGCTTCTCTTGATATGAGGCTGTCATCATCCATTGTTCCTAATACATTGTTCGACATGGCTGTTTGACATTTCTCTCCTACCCCCTCTCCCATTTTCCATTTCCTCCTCTCTCCAAACTGTTCCCCTATGATTCTCTGTCTCTCCTCCTCTGATGTGCCTCATTTCTAGACCATCTTGCTCTCATGATTGAGTTGCTCGGTAAAATCCCTCGTCACTATGCTCTGAGTGGGAAATACTCACAGGAATACTTCACCAAGAGAGGTACGAAACCCCTCTGTTTGTGGCTCGCTCTGGGAGAAGTGGATGACAGGTGAAGGGGGAAGGGTCTTGTCAGCACACCTCCCAAAGCTGTTGGAGTGAGAAGGCCAATACAAATGAAAGAAATGAACACAGACCAATACATTTAACTTTGAAATGGCCATCAGACATCGATTCAAGTGTCAGTAGTTTAGCCAAAGATTGCCTGGCAGAGCTACACTCGGTACCTCCTCAGTTGTAGCCAGATGCCTTGGCTGGATACTCGGTGCTGTATTGATCTTCAGAGGGAATTCTCATGACCGCATAGGGGAGTCAAAGGCATTTACTTGAAGTGTTTTCCTTAATAACAGGCCTGAAGTGTGTATGAAATTACATTTCAGAGAATAAAGTGGTATGAAGAAGTGCAAGTGTTCATACACCTTTATAACACTGTTAACATTATGGAAGACTCTTGGTAAACGATCTCATCCAAAGGGATCCCTGGCCTGAAATAGTTTGACAGTCGGTCACGTTCAGGAGCAATTTTGCAGGGCAGATGGCTGTTAGAGGGCTTTTCTCTGAATCCTAATCTCTATGCCTGCAACCCCTCCCAGCTGCCGCCCACTATGGCACAGGGTCTTGTCCAGGTAACCATTTGAAGCATTAACACTAACAACAGTTAGTAAGTTGGATTGCCTGCAGTGACAAAGCTGAAGCTATAGATTATTGACACGCTGAAATGGAGAAGTTAAAGAACGTACAGCTCTTTTAATGTCTGGTGGCCATGTTTGATTTCTATCTGGAGGTCAGTGCACCCCGGCCTCTTCCACAATCTGGCCCAAATACTGCATATATTTATACACGTGGTAGTGCTGTGAGCCTGACCCCTCTCTCCCTCAGCCCTCCACCCACACCCAGAGCGGGCCTGTTGCCAGGACACCGTCTGACGAATCTGTTGTGTGTCTTGTCTGTCTTGTTCCTCTTTTCTTTGCAATCGTCTGCCGTGTAGACCATATAGCGCTGATCATTGAGCTGCTGGGGACTGTCCCACGCAAACTCATAATGTCCGGCAAATATTCCAAGGATTTTTTCACCAAAAAAGGTAAAACAAAGAACCATCAGCGTCCAGATTAGAGAAGGTATCTGCCTGCATGTCGTAAAGATCATGCCCAAGAGCCACTTTAGTATTTTTACACATATGTTCTCTGACATTTTGAGAGGTTTCTTTTATTGTTAAGACATTTACAACATTGATATATCTCTGTATACAGAGGTGGGAAGTAACTAAGTACATTTACTCAAGTACTGTACTTAAGTACCATTTTAAAATACTTGTACTTTACTTGAGTATTTCCATTTTATGCTACTTTGTACTTCTACTTCACTACAATTCAGAGGTAAATGGTGTACTTTTGCTCCACTACATTTATTTAATACCTTTAGTTACTTTACTGATTTGGATTAATGATAATCATCTCTTAAATCAGACTTTAGTTCCACCTGGAGTAAATTCACAAGCTACCCTACAAAGTCATTCAAACTAGCTGCACCTTTACCAGCTTTGATAACAATTTAATGATCAATAATTATAAAACATATCATATGTATTATTCTGAAATAGACCAATCTGCACAATGACTACTTTGACTTTTGGCACTTTATGTATATTTTGATGCTAATACTTTTCTACTTTTACTTGAGTAACATTTTGAATGCAGGACTTTTACTTGTAACAGAGTATTCCTACACTCTGGTACTTCTACTTTTACTCAAGTACAAGAACTGAGTACTTCTCCTACCTCTGACTATTGACAGCTAATAAAATATGACATGTATTCCATAACTCGATGTTCAAATGTGTTTTCAATATGAATGTACAACACATGTGAAATGGTGATAGTGCTGTGTTCCTGCATGGCTCTCTGATGTGTCTGTGTTGCTCTGCAGGGGATTTGAAACACATCACCAAGCTGAAGCCCTGGGGCCTCCTGGAGGTGCTGGTGGACAAATACGAGTGGCCCCGTGAAGAAGCCGAGTGCTTCACCGACTTCCTGCTTCCCATGCTGGATCTGATCCCAGAGAAGAGAGCCACCGCCGCAGAGTGCCTGCGTCACCCCTGGCTCACCCTCTAGTGGACACCTCCAGCCACTGCACCTCCCCCCTCCTCCCACTCTCTCCAGAGACTGCAACAGATCACTTTCCAGTTTGGGCATATCAAATGAATATTTATTTCTCTTTTTTCCGTTGTTTTTGGATTTCTTATGTTGTTATTGAACTAATGCTTCTGTGTATGTTTGCTTTGTATTTGTTGGTTCTTCTCTCGGTGTGATGACGTTAGGACTTCAGTGGATAATATTACTTTGTGGTCATGTCGGCTCCAACCTGCTGTGCTCCGTTCCTCCACCCAACTAAGCAATCCTGTTATTGTACTGCTAGTGACTCATCCTTGTTTGTTACACTCCTGCACTAAAACCCAAACAAATTAAGGATATGTAGCCTCTCATTCTGTCCCCTTAAAAGGATTTGCTGTCTCTTCTTTTCTTGTGCATTCTCATTAGTGCTGTGTTGTTTTTTTTTTATGAATAAGTTTATCTTATGTTACACATGTAAGGTATACATTTTGTATTTGTAAAGTAGGCGTAGGAAGTTGCACACTGGGCAAACATTTACACTGACTGTGGTTTCTCACTGAGACATCCACCGTCTGATAATGTAGGTCATATTATTTAGCCATAACAAATCCATTGTCACCTGGTACTTAGTGAGGTTAGTTAATTATAATAAATGAGGTCTTTCATTCCCATGGGAGGCTGGTATTCTCATACAACTATTACAATTCAGGAATATAGCGTTTTAAAGGTTTCAACAAGACAACACGTTAAGAAGCCCAATTTGGAGGAAAAAAAGTGAAAATAAAGTGTATATATCTGTACCAAAGAGTTTGCCTTCATGTATATTACAGTTATGTACAGTTTTTAACAAATCTTATATCTTAGCTAAAATTATTTAGCTAGGTAGCTGTGTTTTAATAAAGCATATGGAAGAAGTGTTCGAGTTCAGTCGTATGTATGGCCAACTGTTCAATAATGTCACTGTTTTTACCATAGACATGGTGAGACCTGATGTTATGTAATGGTGTCCCAAATTGATCATATCAAAGTAACCTATGTATCTATTGAGCTTAGGTAAAAACAAACTTTAGTGTCAGATTCAAGAACATAGACTTTGTGTAAACTGTCAATTTACACACCATACAATAAAAACAGACGTTCATACAATACAAAGTGAGTGTGTCGAGCTTGTTTATTAGCTGTTGCACATCAGGAACAGAATTACAACGCTTCATTGTTGTCTTGTTTGTAAAGCAGTGAACTGACTGCTAGATTTCAGTAAAAAAAAAAGGTCATCTAATGCAGTCAATGCTTGTTCATTGCATCCGCATCACTGCCGTCCTCAGCGTCCGTGTTCATCAGGGGTTTGCTGAAAAAGCGGGAAAACACTCTTGAAATTCTTTATTTATTGGATTACAGACATTCTGACTTTATTGCCTCCCAATTAGCTTACAACTGACTCGCAGTACTAACCAATTCAGCTAATATTTAGAAAGCTTTGGTCATATTTGTGTTTTAGGCTAATTTTAAGTTCAAAATATTTGAAGCAGCATAAAAAATGTGTGCTTGCTTACTGGGAACAAACACCCCGTGGTTTTCTTTCTTTGACATACTAAAATGTGCAGTGGTGGAATGTAACTAAGTATATTATTTACACAAGCAGTATACTAAATTACCTTTAGGTACTAACTAAAGTATTTCCATTTGTTGCTCCTTTATACTTCTATTCACTATCTCCGAGGGAAATATTGTACTTTTGGTTCTCTAGGTATATCTAAATGCTAAATTAAGTACTTTTTGCGTACAATTCCGAATGCAGAACATTTAATTGTAAGAGTTTTCTACCTTGTTGTGGATATACTTATTTTACCTTATTAAAAGATCACATCTTCTACCAATGGTAAAAGGCCTTCAACACAGAATTCCCACATCCCAAACTAAGCTTTTTCCCCCACAATCTTCATCTGTTTTTATTACCTGCTCCTCCGTCCACCTCGAAGTCGTCTGGCAGCAGTTTGTCCTGCCTGTTTCCCAGTGTGAAGGACAGGAGCGCCAGGAGGAGGGCGTCCAGGATGCTGATGATGGCCAGGATGTAGGCCCAGCGCACCGTGCAGTTCCCCAGGCTGTACTTATCCGTCCTCTGGCCACACATCCTCTTCACCTCCGGAGAGTCCCAGCCGTCCGGGTAGATCATGCAGCCCATCACCATCAGCAGGGCTGCGGGGGAAGACGGACAGTGAAAAGGTGCAGCCTTGCAGTAATTACCCCTTGAGTGCTCTCACTTTGCAAAATCATTTTAAAGAAGTTCTTCTGAGCCCCCTGTGCAGAATAAGGCCAAACGTAGCCCCATAAAGTGCAAAGGTTTCATTTATTTATGGCGCAGCAGAAAATGATGCTCAGCGGGGCCGTTTGCATGATGTACTGTTAGGAAAGTTCCTAAATGTTAAATGCTCTTCATTGGCTAAAGTGTCCTCTGAGTTTTGCCACAGTTACTTTATGGATTTAGATACAAACCTGAATGATTTAGATACAAACCTTACCTGACCACCTTGTATTTTACTTGAGAATTTCCTTATAATAGTTTGTATTTAAAGTTCACACACACCCCTTCATTTGCTGTATTTTTAAATCCACCACATTGACTTAAAAATGTTTAGTTAAAAGTTATTTTTACATTAAAACACTTTTGATTGTAAACCGTAAGTAAACAGTGTCTGTTCGGGCCTTCAGATGTCTATGAGAGCAGACCAAAATACATATTTCTGAAACTTATCAGATGGTTTTGTTTCAATAACTGCAGCACAAAGAGCAGAAATGATCTATTATTTCACAGAATGCAAAGATTAGAGAAAAGTTTTCTTTTTAAATACACAAATTCATGTAACAAACTCCGTTTATTATCTTCTTTCTATAGTTCTGTTAATTGTGCTAACACATTGCTCCATCAGTTTTGAAAAATGCAACAATGTGATAGAGTTTGCTGACAGTTTAGGAGTTTAAAAAAGTACTTTTGTATATATTTTGTTGATAATATTTCTGATAATACTTAATGTGGCTTTTTTCCTATAGTCCCCGTGTTTGAGGTGTGAGTTTAGATCAGTTAACAACAGCAACACCTGATCTTGTTACATGTAACCAATCCTCCATCAGAGGTGTCAGAGTCTGAAACGCGACCCCTTATTGGCTTCACTGTGCAGAACAACACATCCAGTACACACACACACACACACCTCCGTGAAACCAGAGAGGTGAGAAGACGAGTTCATCAGCTCACACTCGTAAGACTGCTCTCACTCATCCTTTAGTTTAGACCCACTGAGGCTTTCCAGAGTTATGGTGTTCAGGTGCTTAACTTTAGTAAAGCTTTGAAAGGTTTTATCGAATGTGTCCTTTCATGTCAGAATGTGGTCTTGATATGGATAATAAGATGCTGAAACTAAAGCAACTATGGTTTTATATAGTATTAAAAGTGGTGGAATATCTTAGAATTCAACATGGACTGTGTGACCTTAGACCTTAACTCTGAATATGAAAAGCAAAAGCCTCTCAAAGCATTCATCAATACACTTTTTGGTACTATACTGTATGTCTGTATAAACACAAACACAACACAAAAATAATCTGAAGATATTTCAGGGATGAGTACAATGTAATCATAATAAATAGGAACACAAATATAGGTTCTGCATTCAAAAAGTACAAACAAAGTATAACTAACACAAATGTAATTGTGTGATAGTAGGCCTGATCGTTGTACAAAAGGACTATAGTGTTATTTCATTAACCCTGGTGGACAGAAACTAAGTGCATATATATTACAGTTTTTACTCCACTACTTATATTGAATAGCTTGAGTTACTTAAAAGATTCACAATAATAATACAAACTCTAGCCTGATCAACAACATATTTGATCATGTATTAATATACTGCAGGTTGGCATGGCTTTATTTATCCTTTTGTGCATTTTACAGACAAAGTTCAACACAGCTCCACCTTTACCAGGTGCAACATTAAAGTTATCAACACCTCAATGCATCAACAATTACAGTTCAATACTATCATATATTTACGTAATGGATCATTGTGCTTAATGTTGGTACTTTGAGTATGTTTTGATGTTTTGATGTTTTATGCAAGCCTTGTTACATTTAGTAGCCTATACACTTTAGTGCTGCTACTATTTCTCGATAAAGAAAATATGTTACTTAGCACCTCTATCACAACTCATTATTATAACTAGAGGACTTGAGGACAGTTTCACCTCACCTGAGGCCAGCTGCATCCACGCGCAGATCTTGTACACGTTCCCGGCGTTGCAGAAGAAGAACAAGCTGAAGCAGACCATGGTGCCCACGATCAGCAGCATGGAGGTCCCCACGAAGAACAAGGCGGTCCTGAAGGCCGGAGAAGGGATGGAGGCGAAGTCCAGCACGCTGCCTTTGCACACGAGCTCCGAGGTGAGCGCGTTCCCGATGCAGTAGTGGAAGAGGCCGAAGTACCCGGCCTGCGGAGTATTCACGCTGTCCCCGATCCAGTACGGCTGGATGAAGACCACCATGGTGATGATGACGAAGCAGATGGTGAACACGGCCCACATCACGCCGATGGCTCGAGAGTTTCTCACATAGTTGGTGTGGTAGATTTTAGCAGCCTCCTGGGCAGGAAGCAGATCCATGTTTGCGAGCTTCTCTTAAATATCTCTTAAATAGTCTTCTGTGAACATTTTCCCACAAATGTAACTAAATCCACTTGTCCTGAGTCTTTAAACTTATTACACCCAAAGACACAAAGACAAACACACACACACACACCTGATGATGTGGCTGCTCTGCATTGAAATACCTGGCTCAGGAGCAGCACCCTGGACAGCACCCTCAACTCTTTAATTAATGACGAGCCTCTGACGTCAGACATTGGGTAACTTAATACTGTCTGTAGAATCGAAAAACCACGATTTTGTCATTACAAGATTGAATCTAGCCTAATTTTGTTTACATCTTTCTTGGGTTTAGCTCAACTTGTAACTGTCGTGTTGCTGTTTAAGCAAATACTTAGGTTACTTTTGGTACAAACTCATAGACGACCACAACAACTATATATCAAAAATGTTTTTAGACTGTACTTTTATATTCTCATTGCAGTTTTACTGTTTTGTTTTGCTAAACAAACATATTATTCTCCTCTTTCTTTTTAAAGTGTCATAATGTGATATTTATTGGATTCTGCCTGACAGTTAGTTTGCTGAGGTTTATGGATGATGCACAGGAAGCTTAAAATAAAGGTCTGCAGATATCAAATTCAATATCCTTCTTATTGGAGAGCTGCTTATCTTGAAACCTGGAAACTGCCAGTGGCAGGAACACAATAAGGATTTTATTTTGATGAATTAAAAAAACCCTCACACAGACAGGTTATAGATTTGGATTGTCGTTATAGAGGTTGGGGATTCAACAACCGTGAAGTCTGAAGAGGATTAGAAATGGCACAGATGTGCAAAAACTGACATGGGAGCAGTTTCAAAACACACAGCACACTTGTGTTTGCCAACGCCAGCTGGTCTGTGATGCTTCATACTAAAGCAAAGCTCTGTTTCTTACAGTCACTGCTGTTCAGGTGATCTTTTTTTCCATTTTAATTGCCCCTCTGTGGGCTGATAAATGATCGTATTTAACACCAGAGTTAAGTTTTTAGTCAAAATAATTTTAATAATTAATTTTTCTTTTTGGTCAATTTATTGAACATGTCAGAAACAAAACATACAACAATAATAATAATATATATATATTCTTTTCTTTTTATTTTTTTCTTGCTCATAATAATAATTATAACAAAGTACAAAAAAATAATAATACAAAACAAAACAAAAAGAAAATAATAATTCTCAAATAACTCATTTGCTGCAGTCCTATTTTAAAATGTCTCATTCTTAATTGCACTTGTGTTGGCATGTGTGTCTGTGAAATACAACGGCACATATGGTTTCACTTGGTGTACGTTTCTTTTTGTGCCATGTTCTGTTATGGATGACAACTCTGGCTTGAGGCTGACAGGGGGCAGCCGGACAGAGCAGGCCACCATCTGGACCCTTCACCCTGCAGTCAGTGCTCATAACAAGGAGTTTAAGGGACTATACTACGTGACACTCTGCCATGTGTAGAGAAGTATTCAGGGACAAGCGGTTGTCCCACATCTCCCACGGGCTCCCTGACGGCTCCCCGCAGCGCAGTAGAGACCGTCAGCTCCAGGCAGAGAGGGAAACATGAGAGAGAAGGAGGGATGACATGGTGAGGAGACATCACATCTTAGATAAATAGACTCATCAAACTCAAGTCTGTGGTGTGATGGAGGAAGAATGTGGGGGAGCTGCTTTTGAGTGTGACAGCCTCTGACTCTCTTGTCAAGATTTCAGTCAAGCCTGCTGTTTCTTCAGAGACGCGGAGAGCCAGCATCTTTGTGGGAAGTAGAGGACAGCAGTTTGTCAAGGCTTCATGCACACACAAACACACAGATACTTTTACACTTTTAAGAGGCTTAACTTTTTTATTTGGTCTTCATTTGTTTTCTGAAATAAAACCTTGTTTCAGGCTTAATTTAAAGTCAAAATAATGGAAGCCTGTAGTGGTATAAAATCCCCAAATCCACTTATGTTGCTCTCAGAGCCTCTGGTAATCAATTAAAATATAAACCTACATCTGTTGTTCACCCAGAGCAGCGCTGCATTATTAAAGCACCCACATGAAGATGAAATGTGATGTCTTAGGGTTGATTGGCTGTGTGAATCGCAGATATGAGCACAAGGTGGAAAATAAAACCTTTCTAAACCTATTATGATTTTACAACCTTTGTTCACCCACCACAGGCGGGATCTGGCAATTGCAGAATAATGAATTGAAGACGTTAACAGAGTTACCATTTTCTTCATTGTTTGTTTGAGTTTAGAAGTGCTATTGACTGCTGAATATAAAATTCAAGAAGCATTTCTCTTTCACTTCACAGAGGAGAATGAAAGTTTGTTTGCATTGGTCTTGGAGTCGTTTCTCCAGCTGTCACCAGAGCTTACACAGAAATTAAACACATTGTGAAAATACGTCTGGCTGTGCCAGCCTTCTCACGACTCTTTTTATTCAGTACAGAGAGCAGAAGTTCAGTTGAGAAATCAACTAAATTGGAGTAAATGGTACACTGTAAAATACCCGAAATGTCCAGTCTTCTCAGATGGAAGCACTTGTGAAATGAGAATTTTTACTTATGAATACTAAGGGTAAGATTTGCTGTTTATACTTACGTAATTTTGACTTATGTTACATATTCAAGGTTCAACTTTTAATTGTAATGGAATATTTTACATTGCGGTTTTGCCCCTTTTAAGTGAAAGATCTGAATAATCCACAACAGTCAAACAGTCAAATAAGCACCCGAAGCTCCGAAAAGTGTTGTTATTTCAGTAAATGCATAATTATTTTGGAGTATACACAACTTAAACAAATAATAAACTGAAAGAGTAAACACTTTAACAATGATATATATTGGTTCTTCCACACATTAGAGTCCCACGAAAACACAGGAGCACAATTAGATTACCACGAACCCACTGAAGTTAATCTGAGGATTTCGGCTCTCTTGGGGCCCCCGGGGCTCTAGACAGTTCTTTGCGTGTTTGGGAATCCCTTCTGCGTATCCCCTTTATCCAGGCGATATTCTGTTGCCCAAATGTGGATTTACTCAGGAACCTAGGTGAAAGAAAACTGGCAGAAAATCAACCCAAATTCCTGTCTTCAGAAAGCCTGGGACACAGGCATTGTGTGTGTTTCAAGCATTTATTGAATAGTAAAGAGTAGAGATGTGACTATAAGCTATCCAGCTGAATGTTTTACCTTTATCATTACAGGGTCATTGTCTTAGAACATAAAGCCGACAAACACCCAAACAATACATCGGTTTTATGTCTTGAAAACAAATGACTAATTATTAATTAATGTGACAACTTTAATGGGTGCATAATGGCCAACCTAAGGATCTGCCATCCAAACACATTTTGTTGGAGCCACAGACTTATTCAATCCAAAAGGACGTAGGTGGTGGTTCTTCTATCGCATGAGTGCCTTTCTAAGCAAAGTTGGTAGCAGAGCTCTTCTGTCGTCTCTTTCTTAGACCGCAGGGAGTCAGGTTTGTTTATCCGTTTGTTCAACAACTTCTGCTCCTCATGCTGTTCAGAGACGCTGTTAAAACTATCTGTGCAGAAAGATCACAAGCAAGATACATTTGAAGAGGGGTGCATGTGAATATATTTTATCTGACTCTCTGCAAACTGAAAATGACAGAAACCAAATAAAAGGTGTGTTTTGTAGAGTGAATATTTATGGGTTTTGGACTTTGGACAGAAAAAAAGAACAATTTGACTACACTTACAGTATTGAACTATAATGAAAGTGATCTAAAGGAGAAGAGAAGGATTTACTTTACATTTAGAAGGTTTTATACTAAAAACTATTTTCAAATCATATCAAACTTTATTTGTATGGCTCTCTTTATACACAAAATGTAAAAGAAAGAGCTTCACACACTAAAACCAAAAGCAGAAATAAATACTACCAACACTACTAATAGCTAAGCCCAAAACCAAGAGCTTAATAAACCAATAATAACATTTTAAAATATATTGTGAGGCCCTTCCTCTGTTGCACTGTAAAATGCCAGCCATGCTTTATGTTGTTTTGCAAGGCCTAACCTCACACAGCTAACCCTGGTCAGGTGTGAGGGGTCACAGGTGTGAGGGGGCGTGGCCTCAGGAACAGGGAAGAGACATTTTGGGGTGGGGCTAAAGGAGATGTTTTTGGAGGGAGGGGGAGAAGTAATGGCATCCAGCAGCTAATTTAGCTAACTGTTAGTGTTGCACTTTATCCATCTGAAGTGATGAAGGAAATGACAACTGTTGGTCAGAGGACTGGACATCAAACCAAAGCAGGATTACCAGATCCTAACATCTGGTGAGTTTGATTATTCTCTTATGTAGGCTACTGTACTTTTTCCATTTAGGTGATATGACATTTTTGTTGACAGTATGACAGATGTTGTGGACATTCTGTTATTTTCTTGTGAACTACCTCGAGGCATTGTGTCTTTCATAAATTGCGCTGAAACATTAATCCAACTGTATTTTGTAAGTAAGTTTCTTCTCCTCCTAGTTTTTGTCATGATTGCATCTACTTTCACACACACAGTATCACTGATGCTCTGATGCATGACTGCCAGGCTGAAAACGAAAACAGATTGTTATAGTAGTGAAAAAAACGACTTTAGTTGTTTAGTACGGTGGCCCTGAAGTGCAAGTCAAAACAGCATTTCAGGAAACACCACAGCATTTCAGAAAACGCTACAGCATTTCAGAAAACACTACAGCATTTCAGAAAACGCCACAGCATTTCAGAAAACGCTACAGCATTTCAGAAAACACTACAGCATTTCACAAAACACCACAGCATTTCACAAAACGCCACAGCATTTCAACTTATACGAAAGGGTATTCCTTTAGGGTGAACACTTCTTGTTTGTGATTGGACAGAGCCCGCCAGAGAAGCACTGCTGTGATTGGCTGTTTTTGCTGCCAGTCAAGAAATGACGCTTTGTGATTGGTCAGCACACGACAGCGCAACATGTCCCGAAACATCAGCCGTTAGC